TTGGGGCCATTTTTACCTACCTGTCATATGGGGCCATTTTTACCGGGGCCATTTTTTCCGGGGCCATTATTTCCGGGGCCATTTTTTCCGGGGCCATTTTTTCCGGGGCCATTCTTACCGTACACCCCTATAGACACAAAAACCGCTTATAACTCAAATAGCACGCATCATCTGGCACTTTAGCAGCGTGTGCAAGCGACACATTCGCTGTAACAATGAAGCGCGGTTAATATTAAAAATTCTTCAAACCTACCTATGCGATTTATGGGACGTTGTTATTTAAGTGCATATAACTTCATCGGGTTTGACGCATATTCCTAAAATTTAACATGTAGGCTATAGCATTTAAAAACCAGTAATTGAATAGTAAAATGTATATGCAAGATTACACGAATGGGATATATAAAAGTAATATAAATAAACGCAATGTTTTGTTAATTTTGGCAAATTGGTGTTAATTTATGGTTATCCTTCCAGATACGTACGTTACTGTGGGCATAATATCATTAGAAATCGAATTGAGCAGATTAAAAGACGCACAATCGTATTATAAAAATCTTGACAAAAAAGCATCTAAAACAATTGGTAGGACTACACATTTTAGGCTTATTTAACGTACATTTTATAATACTGTTATGCTGATTGACCTTCCTCGTAAGATATGACGTCAAAAAAAAAGATATTTATTGCTATAGGCCTATTGAAAGTGCGTAGGCCTACTGATTGCATAATGATGAGCTTACCAAAATGCCAATAAGAACCACGACACTTGACTGATATCAAATCACCCGGTTGAAGATCCATCTTTCTCAACGTGCTTGTCAGCGACATGCCAGGAAATCAATCGCTGCCTACGAAAATGACATAATTTTTATGATGTCTTTCAACGTTTAGGAAATATCATAACATACACCACAAAATGTCTGTTATTTTGTCGCATATTAATAAGCCAAATACACTCTTCAAATTAGAGTGCCTGTACCTCAAAGAATTGATACGCCCTCACGTAGGACAGAGTTAAGCTAGAGCGTTCTCTAGAGGTCACAGCTGATATATTACAATATATTTATTTTTTTTTTCGAATTCACACGGGCATGGCAAATATACAATAAAAAAACAATGAGATAAAGTTGTCGGTGAAGGAAAAAGGCCAACAGGTAAACAGTCGCACCTCTGACAGCGGCCAATCCCGAACTGCACAGGCAAGGGCTG